ACATAAGTGTTTGACAGAGAGTGTACATCAATCCTATTTTCTTCATCGTAAGTCCTTAAAGATTAGGTTGCAGTCATGGGTTCTATATCCTTTTTTTATACAGGAGGAATTTATTGTATTACAGCATCCCATTTTGTTTTTGCATAATGGAGGAAAACATTTGTTATGAATGACAGTATGTATAGATTTTATTTTAAACCATAAGGATAATTAAAAAAACATTCATTGTTCTTTATCCAATATACCAGTTCTTATAAATAATGACCGCCTCCGTGGTGTAGTGGTTAGAGCGTCCACCCGGAGAGCGGAAGGTCGCGGGTTCGATCCCCGACAGCGTCTTACCAAAAGACGTTAAAATATGGTACTTGTTGGTCCCTGCCTGGCGCTTGGCATTAATGGGTACAACAAGGACTGGTCGGTTCGGAGTCAGTATAACGTGTCTGAGTGGGGTATTCATGCTTCACTGCGGCATCTCTGTGGGCTAGCACTATAAAAACAGCTTCAGTCTGGGCTAGAACAAGCAGCCGCACATACACATACACACGCATGCACGTCTTCATATGAGCGAAATATACTGAAGCACGACGTTAAACCCAATTTCACCTCACCTCTTATAAATAATATTGAAAGGTGAATTGCAATATACTGGTATATCGGTAATACTTTGTGAAGTCCTAATAGGTTTCTCAACAAAACAACAAATAAAGTTTTACATAAGCGACAGAATCCAATGTTAAAATACAATGTTACTGTATCTTACCTTCACTGAGTAACCCTTAAATCTTTGGGCATCTTGTGTGATTGTGGAGACAAAATGTCAGACACAGCTAGTGTTGTTTAGTTGTGAGGATATTTGTACACACCTCTTATTGTTCACACCTTTCACTTTGGTAACCGGCACACACGGACCAGTCGCTAAGCAACACCTTTCCAGTGTTAATATAACATGTTATATTTGGGATTACACTTTCTTTGTAAAGTACAAATTCTAATATTCTAGTACTTTTTGGGTTGAGGTACATCAGCCTGATTCAGGGATTTGAACCCGCATCCTCTCCTCAGAGTGCATTGTACTACAAGTGTTACCACATAACCAAATTGTATAACATATTCAACCTGAGTCGGTCGCCTTTCCAACAGTTATCTTTTTTCATAAAAACCTAAAACGTATATGCACTACATCTTGCTTGCCATCGGTGAATGTGCCAGCATTCTACGTTTGTTACTAAAGTTCCTACATAAATCGTACGATATGTCCCTCCTCTTCCACCTTCACTTTGATATCGATAGTGCATATCCAAATTTATTACCCACGTGGTCAACGTATGGGTAGTTGCATACTAATCTCATACGTCACACGAGTGTCGTATCGCGTTGACCTGTGTCGTACCGACTTGACCTGAGATTCTAACAATTTGATTGGATAACCGATGACCTCTCAATTAGGTCACATTCTGACGTAACTATTTTTTCATTCATAAAAAACACGTGGATCCATTCATTCTACAACTAAATGCATTGTGGGAATGTAAACATCGCGAACGTTGCCGTGTCGCTGTTTAATTGTGAGTCGAACTGAGACATTATACCCGTCGAAAAACGTAAACGCAATGTTTCCACCAGTGATGTTAGCGAATGAAGCAACTGCAAACCAAGAAACGGGTGCTCACGGAGTAGTTTACTGTAGGAGGCTGTGCGAGGCGATGACAACTGACATGCATCGTGGCGTGGGTTACCAAGGCAGTGGCGTCATTAGAGTGGCGTCATGCAAATATTGTACTACAGTACAAAACTCTTCCACAACCTCTTTATGAAACCGGTTTGGGTTTGAAACCAAAATATTAACAAAAATGCGCTATTTTGTCAATTTAATGCATGTAAGGCGTGGGTAATAAATAAAATACCACCACGAGGTCTCATTAGATCACTGAATTATCACGAACTTCGTGACCTTCCTATGGTATCTAACCTCGCTCGCTCGGTCAGATACCATAGGAAGGACACTCGTTTCGTATAATTCGTATCTAATGAGACCTCGTGTAGTATTCTCTATACATCACGCAGATAAATGCAATTTGCAGTTTTGAACACGGTTTGAAATTCGTTTTTCTATGATATCATCCGCTCATTGCAGATAAAATTTACCGAAAATTACATGCATCGTAAATCTCCCCAGTTTTGACACATTACTAAATCACCATTCACTGCGTTTTGCATAATTTATAGTATGTCTTAATTCAAATGTCAAAGTTTACTGGGAGAATTGAATTTAAAAGAAAAAGAAGTGATCATTGTGATCAGCAGTAGTTTTGTTGTTGCATGATCGAATCACCAATGCTCGTTCTGAAACATTGTCAATGAACCGAGAATCGCTGAGAATGTTTTGGAAAATACGTAAACGTCAAAGTGAATTTTCAGCCATAGTACAGAGTGTTTATAAAATCACGTCACACGTATGTCGGTTATGTTTCGTCCTTTGCTAACTACTCTTAAAATTAATTGTATAATTCAACACCATCTTCCTTACATGAATCCCTGAATTCCTCATACAGTTCAAAATAAACTGACAAATGGACTCTGTCACCAATACGAAGTGTTTCAGTGAAATTTAACGAAATATATCGAGGATATGAGATGCCGGGCTAGGAAAGGACCACGTTTTTGAAATGTAAACAAAGCCAATCTCAGATTGTACACTATGTATCTGTTCGCCTACTTGTTGCATACAATTGCTCATTAGTTTTAGAACATACATGGGAAAGGTATGGTAGGAAGCGATAGTTAAATAAAACAGCAGGGGTGGAAATAACTTTAAAATTGCTAGTGTACTCCGGTACAGTGGCACATGTAAAATCACTTGCCCTGATAATTTTTCCACTAGACCGGCCGTTTTCTTGTTGATTTTTTAAGTAACCAACATCATTAACATTGGAAAGTCAACTGGACACCGGTACAGTGTGATATACAAATTTGCTTGCCCGACAGAAAAAAACAATGGACTGGAGCGTCGGGCAATGGGTTATTTCCACCCCTGTATTCCAATGATTTTCTTGATTCATCACAACATATTATAGTTTCTGAAAGCATGACGCCATGACTGACGCAAACTCATGCACAACGATGACGGTACTTCTCCTACCGGTAATTTCTGACTATATTGGTCACAATGAAAACAAAAGGAAAATACCAACCAGCATACTGACAGAATTTTCGGACTACTTACATGTCACATTTATGCATATATGTTGCTTGAAACAACAAAAATTTCCTTCGAAAACTCTGGCGTACTCGTGTCAGTGAACATGCCATTTTGAAAAAGTCGCTTCCCGATAGTGATGTCATACGGACGTCAACATTGTTATACATATTTGGTATTTTCATTGAGGTGAGGTTATGAATGAAAATACACACGATCAATCCGTCCTGCTGCTTAATTTTTCTGTTCTTAAGCTTTTTTCGTATTTTCACAAACTTTTTCATTTTTAATTTCAGGATAATTATCTTTTGATTTGGGACTAGACAGGAGACCAGTTTAAAATCAAGTGGCACCAATTACGTCATAATCAAAGGGCGGTAACTCTGGCCTGTTTAGCTCGGCAAACAAATACCTCATATTTGCATAACATTTCAGCACCTATTTTGAGGGTTATACTTACATTGTAAGAAAATGTGTGTATATTTTCAAACATTGGTATTAACTAATTTATAAAGTTCACTTTGATTCACATAAGAATAAATGTGATTTATTCATGTTCACTTCCCCTTTAAGGTATCAGAACAGTTGACCCCTTTCATCATGTGAGGAGATATTCAAATGAAAACATAGCATGCATCTTTAAACTTAATCCCACTTGTACAGTTCATATCATTTACTTCTGAATACACGCTAGGTCTCCTCAGCAGGGAACACTAATTAGGACTGTTCCATTTCAGCCATGGGTGTTGTCTTAATTAATCCCTTTCATTAGTGTCTAAGTTATGGCTGTCTAAGATATGGCGGTCTAAGTTTTGGGAGATGACCGGTGAGTGTGGTTGATGGGTACTTGGCTTGGCTCTTTCTCTACTAATATCTTACCATAAAAGACATGACTTAGATTAACTGTTAGGGGACTGTGAGCTATGGTAACAGCTTGCCATCCAGGTATTGGCTGCTTGTTAGAGACAAAGTTCGGAAATGCAGTATCGCAATATGTACGGTATCGTGACCTCTGTATTGATATGTAAGGTATCATAAGGCCCTGTACCATGACATCCCTATTAAATATTACTCATTTATGTGTTGTTCGTGTGTGTTTACCTCTTCATACTTTAAACAATGCCCGGGTTGGGGGTTGGGTAGCCTAATGGTTAAGCAATCTCCCGCCTTAGACCTGCTGTTGCTTTTCGGTTCCTGACATTCGTACATAATGTGTGAAGTCAATTTCAGGTGTCCGCTCCCCCCATGATATTGCTGGAATATTGCGCTGAAAATTATACTGCTCACCTGCTAACAGTCTTCTCGGACAAAAACGATATGGAGACAGTAGTTTCCCTACAGCAGGCGCTAATCTGTGGAATGGGCTGCCCATGGCTGTCAGACAAATCAAGGAACTCAGCAGCTTCCGTTCCACCCTGAAAACCGTCCTTTTCTCCAGGGCATATGACTAAGCGCACTAGAGCAGTGATATCTCTGGATATGATGCGCTATATAAATGTCCAATTTGTTATTATTTTTTTTATTAAAATGCCACAGTATGAATCTTTAAGCACATCCGCATAGTTAAATGTATTAAGCTATGTTTGTACACTGCATACAACTCTAAACCAATTCAAATCATGGACATAATGGTTAAAGCGTTGGCTCGTCACGCCGAAGACCCGGTTGAATCCCCACATGGGCACAATGTGTGAAGCCCATTTCTGGTGTCCCCCGCCGTGATGTTGCTGGAATATTGCTAAAAGCGGCGTAAAATCAAACTCAGTCAGTCAGTCAAATCATGGACACTATGCATTTATTACAGACTTGATGACGGTCAGGTATCTGAATACTTCCCACTGGATCATGTGCTCACCAGCTTGTTCCAGTTAGTTCATCAGCTGTTTGGCATCACAATCAAGGTGAGCATCATTAATTCATCAGCTGTTTGGCATCACAATCAAGGTGAGTATCATTAATTCATCAGCTGTTTGGCATCACAATCAAGGTGAGCATCATTAATTCATCAGCTGTTTGGCATCACAATCAAGATGAGTATCATTAATTCATCAGCTGTTTGGCATCACAATCAAGGTGAGTATCATTAATTCATCAGCTGTTTGGCATCGAAATCATGGTGAGCATCATTAATTCATCAGCTGTTTGGCATCGAAATCAAGGTGAGTATCGCAGAACCAGAATGTTGCATGGGATGACCTAGATAAGCATTACAGTTTTAAAGATAGAACTCTGAATATTAGCATAAATCACCATTATGAGCATAGTATCAAGGTAAGCATGGTATTCCAAGGTAAGCATAGTACTTTCATAATAAACGAAGTACTGTTAAGGTAAGCAAAGTACTTTCAAGGTATGCTATGTATTGTTACGGTACTCTTAGTACTATTAAGGTAAGCAAAGTACTTTCAAGGTAAGCTATGTATTTGCATGATACTCTTCAATGTAAGCATTGTACCATCAAGGTAACCTTATTACTGTCAATGTAAGCATAGTACTTTCAGGATAAGCTTAGTATTGTCAAGGTAAGCATAGTACCATCAAACTGACCTCCACAATCTCAAGGTAAGCAAAGTACTGTCAAGGTAAGCATAGTACTCTCAAGGTAAGCAGAGTACTTTCATAATAAACTTAGTACTGTTAAGGTAAGCAAAGTACTTTCACGGTAAGCATATTACTTTCATAATATACTTAGTACTGTCAAGGTAAGCATCGTACTCTCAAGGTAAGCATAGTACTTTAATAATAAACTTAGTACTGTTAAGGTAAGCAAAGTACTTTCAAGGTAAGCTATGTATTGTCACAGTACTCTTAGTACTGTCAAGGTAAGCAAAGTACTGTTGAGGTAAGCATAGTACTCTCAAGGTAAGCATATTGCTGCCAGGATAAGCATAGTACTATAAGGATAATCTTAGTACTGTTAGGATAAGCATAGTATTGTCAAGGTAAGCTCAGTACTTTCAAGTTAGCTTAGCACTGTCACTGTATGCTTAGTATTGTCAAGGTAAGCTTAGTACTGTCATAGTAAACATAGGTCTGTTACCTCTGATCTGAACATCTTGCCATGCGTTGCTATTTTGATCTGAAGGTCTAACCGTGTCTTGTAGGAGGCAACTGGGGAGGAAGAAACTTGGCACAAGGATGTGAGATATTTCAAGGTGTTCGATCCAAATGGTGAGTAAATGGTATTGTTGTAGGCACAAGTCCGTGATAGCCCCAGATGTCTGGTGCAAGTATTAAGGGAGATACCCACAGGTGTACTGACTGACAGGTTTACTCCTAGATATATCAACTAAGTTTGGTTGGATTGTTGTTTAATACCACTTTTGACAAGCATGATTTGCTGAAGGCCAATTCTAACTCACATCTTCATGGGTATGTGAACTAAAGCACAATAATGCAACATGTGTGATAAACCAGGCCCTGATTTCTAGAAACAAACTTAAGTCTGAGTTTCAACTTAAGTTAGAGTTTTTACTCAAATTTGAAAAAATGCATTTCACATAATGAACTGAAATCGATATTAAACTCAAACATAGTAGACAATTTGAGTTTGGTGGATAGATTACTTAAGTTGTTTGGGCTTTTTCATTTAAAAAATGCAGTTTCAAAAATTCAGCTGTTTCAAATTGTCCAACTCAGTTTGAAATTTGAGTAAAAACTTAAGTTTGTTTCGAGAAATCAGGGCCTGGAGCCATGGTAACATCAATATAAGACTTAAGTCCATGTACTCTCATTTACTGTGCTTTATTTCTGTTTCAGGTACTAATGTCAGTGCTTTCTACTTTGACCCTGTTGCAAGACCAGCTGAGAAGGATACTGAAGCGTTGATGATGATGGGGCGAGGTGTGTTGCCCATAGCAGCAGTATCAGCATTTGTTTGGATGTTATAATGTTGGCATGCCTTAACTTCACTTAGGGGGCGGTAGGGGAGCCAAGTGGTTAAAGCGTTCGCTCATCACGCTGATGACACGGGTTCGATTCCCCACATGGGTACAATGTGTGAAGCCCATTTCTGGAGTCTCCCACCATGATATTACTGAAATATTGCTAAAAGCATCGCAAAATTAAACTCACTCACTCACTCTCTATGTTCACTTGGTCAGAGCAGCAGTATCAGCATGTAGTGGGATATTATAATGTTAGTGTAGCAGGGCGTGGAGCCTTCCCATAGATGGCATCCTTACCATAGATGGCATCCTTACCATGTCAGCTTGACACTGTTAACCTCTTTGGTCATGTGGACTGACTTTGGATAAGAAGGTCCAAATGCCAGCATGGGACTGGGAAATGGGACTAGTTTAGCATGGTTTATGTTCATTTGGTCAGAGCAGCAGCAGCTTTTACTGGGATGTTATACTTGGTCGGAGCTTGTAATTCAGAGAGTGAACTCAGTTGCGAAAGAAGTGCCCAGCATACCCATACTGATTGTAGTTGACCCATAAATGGGGATGGCAGTTGATGATAGACTTACTTACCTCTGCCTTATTTCTGTGAAATAACCAACTAGAGTGTAGACAGTCACTCACTTCCTTAACATTATGTTTTCGAAAGGAGTGCCCGTAGATTCAAAACAATGCTTTAACCAATCAAAATTCGTCCACAGATGCATATTGAAAGCTTCTGTATAGAAATCAACTGTATAACCAGATTTCATAACTCCAATGTTATAAAAAAAATAATTTCAGTATTACCTTTCACATAGTAACTTTGATACAGCAAGCTTCCCACAATGCACTGGGCAGAAGTAGTAGCAGGTTCGTAATGAGATGACCTATAATGTTGGACCCCTGAAGATCTGGGTTAGAATTGGTCTTTAGCAACCTGTACTTTTTGTAAGAGGCAACTAACGGGATCGGGTGGTCAGACTCACTGACTTGGTAGATCGATGCTCATAATGTTGATCACTGAATTGTCTGGTCCAGCCTCGATTATTTACCAACAACCAGCATACAACTGGAATATTGCTGCTTGGAGCATTAAAGAACAAACAAACAAACCTATGATATTGCCATTAAGCCTTGAAGACCTCTTTTGAAGCAGATGGGATGTAGTAATAAAATTCTGCTCCCTTTTTAACAGAGAGTAAACATCTGACAACTGGGTTATCATCAAAAAAGTTTATATGAGGCACATCCATCAATTGAAAGGCTCTTAAAGTAGCTTTTGATTGCACAAAGAACACCATGGTATGTCACAAAATTGACCTTTAAATGAAATGTTTCTTCAAAATCCCTTAATTTCCATCAACATTCATGAAATCTGATATTCTGCTAATGCCTCCGCAAACCATGAGGATTTAAATACTGGATTATTGACAACCAAGATATTATTTTTCCTTATCCTGACTCATGCTCTTTTGCTTGTCTTCTTCTTCTTGCGAACATAGTGGAAACACTTGTATCTCCTTAATTGAAGCTCCCTTCAATGTAAAATCACTAATCAGTACTCACCACGAGTTGCTCCCCTTTGATCCCTTTTGGCGGGAAAGGTGTCGCCACCTCATACCTCGTGCTTCACTCTCTCCTTCTTCGCCCAGTGAGCAGGATGTGAGAGCGCCTGTGTCTCCTTACACAACATATCCTTTGATTTTTCTTAGTTTTTTACCTCCTATAGTGTACTATAGAGGTATAGCTAGTATCCTTCAGCAATTTGTATTGATTATTTATCGTATTTCTACTGTTTATTCACGTGTATTCGTGATTGTTCAGCTAGTATTACGTTGATGAAAATCTGTACTATTTGTAGATTACGTTTTTTCTGCCTCAGATCCGCATGTAATATGCCCTAGTTGTTCTACGCCGTGTGCGTTTGATTCACGTTGCAGTTATTGCATTAATTTATCTAATTCTGCATTTAATAAATACTATCTTTGCGTCTTAAGACGTGCTGCAGATAGGTCACGCAAACAAGGGCTAAATATGGCTGATACTCCAGATACTCCATCTAGTCAGCTGCTGGCGATCGACCCCCTACCGTCTGGTGTTCTGCTAGAGACCCCATCGGAAGAGGGACGTGGGATGCAGTCCGTCACCTCTAAGAAGCGGCCGGCCTCCCCAGACATCCCGTCATCGCAGATAAAGTCCAAGAGGGCCTCGACGTCTTCTCAACGCAGACTTCGTACCCCCAGGGCAGCGTCGACATCCAAAGGGAAGTCTACGAAGACAGCGAGAACTTTCTCAGCCGAGATCGTTCCAGCCGAAGAAAGGGGCCTCTACGATGACCAGCCGATTATCATCCCCGACATACGGCACAAGAAGCGGCCGGTGTCAGCGACAGTGACTTCAGCAGAGATCTTCATGCAGCCTGATGCCTCTACACCGATGTCAGACGTTATTGCTGTGGACCCCATCATTAACACCGCAGAGAAGGCGCAGACAACATCGTCGCAGACCATCCCTGATGACCTGATGCAGCAAATTATGACGATGATGGAAGACCGATATAGACTGCAGAAGCAAGGACCGAGCCTTCGCGAAGGCTCCAACGTAGACAGCACCCCAGAGGCACCCCCCGTCAACGTAGCAGCCAAGACGATGTCACCTTCGCGAAGGAAGGCACGGACCACCTCCACGAAGGACCTAGATGTACAGCCTTCGCGAAGGCGGGATAGATCTTCACCCTCGTCATCTTCATCCCAAGATGTGGACTCGGACCATCAGACATCACGAAAGCCTTCGCGAAGGTCTTATCGTAAATCCCCCGGACCGGACGCAGAGGAAGCTTCGCGAAGGCATTCGCGAAGGCCAGCTGAATCCAGATCTTCATCATCTAGAAGGACATAGAGGGACTACACAAGAGCTTCGCGAAGCTATCAACGTTCTCCTCACAGGTCACCGAGAAGATCAACCCATAGACGTAGATCACCTAGACGATCGCCTCTTCGTTCATCACCACGTAGATCACCTTACAGATCACCATACAGAGCTGCACAAGCATCGCCGGACGTAGAGACAGAAGCACGCAGTCCAGAACAGCACCAACCTCTCATCAATGATGATGGTATAGAGGATGATGGAGGAGTTATTTTCTCCGATGCTGAGATACGGTATTGGATGGTCAATAACCTAGATCTCTCATCACCATCTAAAAATGGCAATGTGGCGCAGACATATCTGATGAAAGAAGACGATGCAGATGCTATCACACTACCACCGATCGACCCGATTGCAGCAGTTCCACAGAATCTAGATGCAGCATTCCACAAAGCCACGAAAGTTCAGACACCACATCTACCAAACTTTCATGCCAAGAAGTTCTCCACGCATAACATGGACCGCTTCTTCAAAGCTCAGGACATCGATGAGAACTATAAGTTGATCAACGATGTCAAGTACAAGAATTACAAGATTGATGATCGCAAGTTAGTCCAGATAGAAACCATGACGGGACGTATGTTTTTTGGTTTAAATAGATCTAGAACGATCAATGAGACTCTTATCACCAGATTTCGTGATACGACTTCTGAGGATGATAGAATGATTTATTCTGCCTTACTTATGCAAAAGAAAGACCAGCAGTTCCTAACAGATCATCTTACATCTATTTCAGCAGCACTGACCTTAGCTCGTCGTCAAGGCCTCCTCGCTTCCTGTAACTGGGGTGAGAACTTTACAGCCCCACTGTATACAGCCCCGTGGTCTTCAACATCCATCTTTAATGGAGAAATAGACAAAGTTTCCAAGGAAGTCACTAAGGATTCCAGAGAAGTCCTGATGATTAAATCGATGGACACACTAGCCAGTGTCATCCGACAGACCTCTCAAAGATACTCAGGAAGATCTAAATTCACGGGCCTACAGAGAGCACGAGACAGGAAGATAGCCAGCTCTAGAGGAAAAGATTCTTTTCGTCGCCCATTCGGCAACTATAGAGGAGGTTCAGGAAGAGGCAGGACACCCAGAGGTTCCCGCAACTATAAACGCTGAAAGACAGGTTCGGGAACGACTGGAGTCTTCCACCCCCAGCCGTTCCAGAACAACCATCTCAAGTGGGTGGACGCCTCCAACTTTACTGGGAAAACTGGGGAATATTACAAGACCCTTATGTCTCCAACATTCTTCGTCACGGATTTCGTATCCCACTAAAGGCCAAGCCTCCGCTGACAGTCAACCCTCACAAGTTCGACGTACAGGCACAACAACTACCGAAGTTAAGAGAGGCTGTTACATCACTCTTAATAAAGCAGGCCATAGAAGTACTAGACCAAGACAACATAGAACCAGGTTTCTACTCCCCAGTTCTTTTTCAGAAGAAGTCCTCCTTGGGGTACATATAAGCATTAAAATGTCCATTTTAAATCCTACGACAGTTGTAACTATATTTTTAATAAAATATTTACAAAACAAAAAACTCGTTTTGTCTTGTGAGACCACCCCTACAGGGCCCCACCGGACCAACACAGCCAAGAGCAGGTAACTCTCGCCGTCTACCTCGTACCTCACTTTTCATGCTGTCGTTCTGTTGAATAGACGTGCGTGGTGTTCGTTTCGAGTTTGCTCTCCTACCGATACGATGAGTGTAAAAGAGTCTCAATCTGTATGTATGGTTCCTTTCTCTACGCACGGGCGTTAGATGGACGTCATATGTGGATATTTTCATTCATCTTTTGTTGTAACTTTGCCGTGGGTTCTCTGTTTTCCAGCCATGTGGCAGGCAAAATGGCGGACCGCGCGATCGTGGTTTCCTTGCTATATGTTCTTGGTAGCTTGTAGTAGGGAGTTCATATATTATGTTTGCATATTATATGGTAGGCTTGCCTAAATTCTCTTTCTTTCAGCGAATTTGTGGTAAGTCGTTGTTGAGTAATTTTGATAGTGTTCGTTTCAGTATCACTCAACTTTACT